ATCTTAGACTGCTTTACATACAGTTCTCTCGTCACTCATGCATGGGTTATCACAGTTCATTAAAATGTCTCGATCTTTGTCATTTAAGCTGTGCACCTTCGCTTCGCACTCCACGCATCACACATTTGCGAGGCCTATTTTTACAAGTTTTTTTTGCTACTTAAAGTGAAAAGGATATTCGCTATCCGTTTTCCTCTTCGCACTTTTATTTCTCAGCTGTCTAGTATGTTTGATGTGCGATTTCATACCGTTAACTTAGTAATCATGCAAAAATGTATGGCGAAGTGATGGACAATGTGATACATCTCTTTCGTCTGTAAAGTGCAAATACTGAAGGTAAATTTTGTGGTGAATTGTGCTGTGTTGTGCGATTGCTGATAGGATTTTCTCTCAACTAATAACCTAGTTTTGTGTTTCTCAGATTGGTGCCAATTTCAGCACATTTACGTTTGTGAGGATCCGCTGTTGTATGGATTGTACTCTGGACCGCCTATCCATTACCTCTTACCGTGGGTAGCTGCTAAGGTGTCCAAAAGGCGTAGACTAACGCTCGTACTTAGTTCCTTCCGGCCTTTCTAGCCTAGCTTCATGTTCTAATCGGTGATAGAGGTCTTTATGAATGTGTTGCTCTTGTCATTGAGTAAGTTATTCATGCGAACCACCCATTTTTCTCCTGTTATTGTACACTGAGTGGTGCGTTCTGTCACTACGTGCTGTACGTCCACTAGGATGCATGAGCAGTCACTTTTGTTTTTAGCCTTTGCCGGCTAGTGGAATTCTTTTGGTAGATCAAATTTCATCAAAATTTGATGCTGAGGCAGCAAAGGTGATTGCGCCAGTGGGTTGGATGACAGCAAGTGCTCGGTCACTTGGTATTCCTTCGTCTCTGCACGTCGGTCACTCTGATGATATGCTTCTGCGCCGTGCAATTGCTTGCACAGCACCACTAGCATTTGATTTCTTTTGGTATTTTAGCTTAGGTTGGTCACTCTCTCTCTCGTCCACACAATTCTTAATCTCAATTGTGAGGACATCATGTTTTTGCTAGTGTTCCAGTAAGTTGCATTTGAAACGAGCGTCTATTGCCCGATTCTCGGCCCTTTATCTCTCTTCTCGCAACTCAGGTACCTCAACAAATTGGAAATTGGACGTGAGTGCACTAACTGCGATAGGAAGGAACGAGAAGCCTTCCGTTGTGCAAATTCAGACAATTCCTTGTGGTTGGCCTCATCAGAGCGCTTCTTGAGACTGTCCTTCTGGTGTACGAGTTTGAATGACTCTAAGGAGACATCCAGCGCGTAAGTCCCCTCCTTTTGTGGTTCACAATAATTTTGCTTTCGAGCTGCTAAGTCAAAACCACTGCCTGCAACTCAACAATTAACTGTTGACATTGGTGCGAGTGGCGACCTCATTCTTACTCCGACTCCTTCATAGGGAATCATCATTTAGATTCTATTTTCCTCTTTTAGGCAAGCAATTGAGGTGTCACTTTTAAACGCCCTAATTCTATAACTTTTGCGATGGAGTATTTTTATGCCTGCTGACCTCTATGAGTACTTGTACACGGCGAGTTGTGTAACAGGAGAGATTTAACTGAATTATACAACCCATCTGCTTTGTCCTTATTTTTAGCAGTACGTCAAATGCAATCAAATGTGCTCCATCCGATCGCTTGGCTGAGTACCTTCTCAACGCTCACCGTCTTATCGATTCAAGGATGCGTAGCACGGAGATGTGGTCGGCCGAGTACCAATCACCGGTGCCCTCCCTTGTTCCCACTACGTCGGGCGCTGACCCCCCCACTGTGCACTTTCACAGCACCCCATTGCGCACTCTCATGACTTCAAGTTTGCGCATCGAGTCGGACTCACAACAGCAAGAGCTCTCCCTCATCGATCAGTACAAATCGGAGTCTAACATCTACCAGTTGAGTTATTGCGATGACTCTGATGAGGAAGTGGGGAAGGAAAACAAAAAAGCAGACATATTGCGTCCTTTCAGTGGGTTGAGACAGGCGGAATCGCCTGCCGAACTGGAGCCTACCGAAATGGAGAAATCGTCACTTGATGTCATTCGCCAATTCCTGGCCGACATTGCGGGCAAGCCCACCTGTGATGCTATAACTCTCTTCACTCAAGTGTTGGAGGGCGAGCTTTCTATGGACAGTGATGATGACATTGGGATTAATGTTCCCTACCCTCCGGTCAGTCAACTTACCCTTGATATACTTGACTACCGTCTTGGGAAGCATGCCTTCTGTGTTGTCACTGCGTCACAGCCTTCACCTGGGTACGAGTCATTAGCTCCAGTTGGTAATCTCGAAAATGATTATGATTTCGACAGCGTGTATGGTAATGAACTCCCTGAACTGCCGTTTCGACCCACCTTTGGAGCGTCTTCATTGCTGCACCATTCGTTGTGTGGTCTTGGTGAGCCGAATTTCCTTACTCTTTGCTAACTTAAAAGCTTTTTTTGTGGTAATATAGCTTCCACTTTTGTCTTTCAGGTCCCTTTCTAAACTGTGTGCTTAGTCTAATGGGGAGCATGCACAAAAATAGCCTCTACTTAAACCTGATCCTAACAGATGTTGTCCTTACTCTTGCCAGTTTTCACCAATTCCCGCTGGCTGATATTTTATTGAAGTGCGCCGATGTCGGTCTGAGTAGTCAAATACAGACACTTTACGAGGTATGTGAAAGCAAGTTTGACTTACCCTCACATTTCCGTTCTTCGGTTCAAACTCCTGACCACTTTGCTTCAGGTCCTTGCCAGTGTGAGGCAGGAAATCGAGCAGCACTTGGTCAGGATTCCTAATTGGCCCGCCTTGGTTGAAGATGCCAGATGCCTTCTGCGGGGTCCAAGCCAGCGAACTCCAAAAGCAGCTCTACCTCCCGCACTAGCCA